GAACGTTGTAGCCCGATGCTTTAGACGTGCTTACTAACCGCACTCTTGTAGTAGCTGACCAATTTAAAACATAAACTTACGTCGAACTTTGCATATGTAGATAATGCATTTGTCCTTTCGATTACCTGTACGTATTTATAGTCGAATATTACCGTTAGATTGACTATCAATATAGTTTTGCATACCAGTTACGATTATAATAAGGAAGTTAAGTAGATTCTTTATACACACTAGTCTACTTATGCACAATGAATAAACCTATGATAACAACTATTAGCATCAATTGACCTCTAATTTTGTCAAGCAAGTTTTAACTTCAATTTACGCCCTATTTAATCGTTGATTATATCTGTGTTTCTCCAGATATGTCTTGAATGGAATGTTTTGTATCATCTTGTATAGCAAAAGTATGGTTAAGATTGTCTATTGGTGAATTAGTTTCTTGAGCCTGTTCGCTAGCATCATAAGTATTCTCAATCTGCGATAGGGAGTATAGAATTAATATAATTATTATAAAACATGGACCAATATACGAAATAATTCTAAATTAACTGCATTTTACCATAGCGACTGCAGGCCTGTCTCCACAGATACAAATTCCTGAACGATATCCAGTAATTACAGTTTCATATAAGCTGATAATTAAGGCAGGCGCTATTAAGACAAAATTTACTATAGCCATAGCTATTGATGCTGGTCTTTGTGTTAAGATAAATGGCAGTGATGTACATTCAGCAATTAGTAATCCAAGATAAGTTGTAATAAACGCCGATGCCATGAAATTTATGATAAAATAAGACGCCACCTAAGTAGTTAATATCCGTTAAATGTAGAATGTTAATTAAAGCAAGCGCTTGCTAGCACAATATCGGATAGAAATTAATTATAGTACATTGAATAGCCGTTAATAATATCTACGTACCAAATCTTCCGAATATTTAAATGCCAAGTTATTGCCTAATTGGCCAGCTAATATTAACTACAATTGCATTAAAGAGAATAAAATTTGTTAATGATAAGAATTCTATTCACGCAACAACTTTTCTAGAATAAGTGCATTTCCCTATTATCTATTTATTTACCTGGCAGCCAGTAGCGAAAGTATATAGTAGGTGTGTTGGAATTCCAACAAAAGGTTCTATAAATGTAACAATTATAAAGAGAAAGCCAAAGCAGCATAAAGTAATGCCAAAAGTGATATTTTGTGATGTTATTGGCATTCGTAATCGATTAAATAGCGTCAATTTGAAAACTGGAACTTCCTCCAAACTCGCCATTTTGAAGGTAATGATTGCTGAACCCACCAAATTAAGCAAACCAGCTATCATGACTAAAACATAAAATGCAATATAGGCCGCAAAAATTCGTCTTCCAATGATGTTAAAAACGAGATAAAGTGTGGATGAAACTATTAGAGCAAAAGACCAAAGACATGCCCATTTCGAAGTGATCAAAGACCAGGTAGTCTAAACCAGGAGAAGGAAATATATGATTTTAGTTGTATGATACTGTTTGCTACACTCTTCGGCAAAAATAAGAATCACTTATTGGGATATTACCAATGATTTAATATTTCTTAACTTTTGAGTTAAATGAGTAATGGTACCGCTCGCAATCATCTGATTCCCGATCCAGCAAATATATGAGAAATAATTAGGCGATCATTGTGTTAGTACTTATAAGATTGCAGGTTACGTAAAACAGTTTAGTCTTGTGGAATACTTACAATACTTCCGAGATAGCAGGTAGCTGGTGCAAAACCTCCTTGAAGAACTACTAGACTAACTATACCAAGTACAAGTGTAACACCTCCAGATACTAGCTGAAACAAGCCTGGGCCGAATAATCCGAAGAACAGAAAGTGTGCGTCGACTGGGGTTGTAGTGGAAGCCATTCCAGATTGTTGATTATTACTTTGTGTAGCGTCTCCTTCGAATGAGGCATTGACGGTAACGAGATAGCGAGCAAACTTGATAATGACATAGCCATTAAATACTCCAAAAATACACGATAGAATAAGCGAAATACTTGCAACTGCTAGCTCGACAACTTTGGAATTCCTTCTTGAAAATATGTAAATGATGTAAGAGTGAGACGCAATACTGAAAATCTCGCTAGCCACGCAAATCGTTGCAAAAAATATGATGCCAATTAACTAGATGAAATTAAAATGAAAATTGTTAATACAGTTCATTGTTGATTCACGCACTATATGCATGCTTATCTATTCCTGATTCTATTTGCTTTAACATAATTCTTTTAGGATGACTTTTGAAAGGTTTAAACTCTATAAAGTCTTAAAATTGCTAACATCCGCGAAACTGTTGACACGGAATTTGAATATCATAAATTGTATCATGATTGCAGCTCATGATCTAGCTTACCAGAGAATGCAAAGATTTTCGTACGAAACCGATGGCGCACATACCACATAAGAACATCTACAGTAATATCAGTGAGTGAATTAAAATTTTATCAAGGTTGCGTTACTATTCGCTACATTACAGTAAAATTATAAAAAGTAATATTAATTAATTAAACTTCTTTACACGTTACGAAAAGAGTATCGAACAGAATATACAATATGCACACTGGAATTGGTAAAAAATAAATTGTGTTAATGTATGCTCTCTATCCTAAATACTCAATGTACTTATATTAGACGAAAAATGCTAAACTTACCGCTATTGTAGGTAAAGCAGTGGAAATTAACAAATATTCATGACGAATTTCATCTAGTAGTATCCATCCCAATATTGCCAAAATGGTGCTGACCACACCTGAGGTTATTTGGATAATTCCAATGGTGAAAGCTGTCGGCATTTTTCACTTCTTATTTTCTTTCGATATAGTGCTATAATTTCAAATCTCCTACCGTTAAATCTTTTAGAAATCAAGATGAATAGTATTATTTTATAAGCATTCAGCCATGAAAAGTTCATACTTCAATATTATGAAATATGATAGCAATAATCGATTAGGCAATCTAGTTTATCATACGGAATTCCTATAGAAAAACGATCTAGTATTAAAATAGAAGGTTCCATAGATGATCGACAATTTTTTATTACAATTCATAAGGAATCAGAACTAAAAATACAGCCAAGTACGAGCCTAGTATTAGGTGATTGCGTGGACTTTCAAGGAAATTATATTTTTCATTTCCTGTAAATGTTGTTAACTTTGATTTACTCCATATTATTATGCAATGACAATAATCTAGGTTTTAGGCAGTCAGGTGTATCTACAAATCTGTATCTATATATGGCGGAAGATATGACTAGGCAGACGCTTAAAGTAGGCATTAATTAAGCATCAATTGTTCACCCTTCCTTCTTCCTATAATGATATGAATTAAAGGCTTTCAATGCTTTTTATTAAACGACGAAAGCTTATATACATTGATCAGTTTATACGTCTAAGTGACTAGAGTATGAATGACTCAATATAAAGTGTAATCAGATTATAGCTATCTAATAAAGTCTGCTTCTGATTAAGGTAACTTAACGTTATCTTTAAAATATTCTGCTTAGGATATTAGAATAACTGTTGAATAGAAACGACAAAATCTTGCACTGTACGATACAAGAAGTAGCCATACGAACAATAATTTTCTTAGTAACTTTTGTCGACGCTTACAATAAGCTATTATCATCTTTTAAATGTAGTCAGTAAAAATATTATAATTGTAAACATAGTTTCAAAGTAATATAAATCCAATCACATCACTGAACGGAGCTATTTTATTAGATGATATATATGTTTACAGAAAGATGCCCAAGGTTATATAATTAATGAACTAAGTTTACTGAAATTATTGGTTTCACTATTTTTAGATCAATCCCTGCTGCAATCACTAGACTCATCTGATCATTTATCAAGAGAATTTACATTTATTTAATAGTTCTTTGATATCTGTTGGTAGTGACCTCTCTTCCCAATATACTACCTTGAAAATATGTTTTTTTCTTCTTTAGACAATATTACAATCCTTATATATCAATAAATTGTAGTAAAACTAGTACGTGGTAGCACATTCGTTGCATAACTATTTG